TGATAAAATGATCTGATAAGTCATAATTCTTAAAACACAAATCTTCCTTTTCTGGCTCTCCAGCAGTAGGAGTCAGGCGTGTGACAAGCAGGTGGTATTCTATGAGTAACAAAACAGGTGATACTCTGGGAAAATCAAGTGGTGCCTCCCACTCCCACCCATTTCCGCCACTGGCATATGTTCCTGGTTATGGATGTAAAATACAGGGTTGTGTCTGGTTTATATTTATATAAATGGAATTGTGCTAAGAATACAATTATAACTGTTTACTCAACACATTTTAAGGTCTGTGCATGCCATTGTCAACTTGATTACTCCTGACTAATACATGGTATTCCACAATAAAAGCATTTACCAGGTTTCTGCTTGTTCTTGGAGTTCATAGTGGGTTATGTACCGAGACTGCTGCCAGCACTACTCAACTGCAAGCCACACTGTGATAACCATCCTCACACGTGTTTCCCTCCTTTCCTAAGAGAAATTTCCTCTGGAGTAGACTGAACAGTGGGATTTGGGGCTCACAGGACTTACTTAATTTCACTAAATACTGCCAGATTAGTCTACAGAATGGCTGTATTAGTTTAACACTCCCAACAGTAGTACATGAGGGTCCCAGTTTCCCCACATCCTTGCTGATATTTGTTATTTTTAATTGTCTAATTTTTGCCAAGACAGTAGATAGAAGTAATGTCTTATGTTAATTTTAACTTGAACTTCTTTTGTTTACTAGTAAGGTTGCACATCTCTCACATACTTCTTAATCATTTGAATTTCCCTCTTGTAAACTGCCTAATCATAGTCCTTATTTTTGTTTTTTTCCCTGATGACTTTCCTGTCTTTTTTCCAATTTTCAAAAGTTTTTCATATATTCTAGCATTTCATATATCAATGCATTTTCTTAGACATAGTAAACATCTACCAGCCTGCCACTTTTCTGTTAACGTTGTGTATGGTATCCTTAACTTTTACGTAGGTAGATTCATTGAAATCTTCACCTTATGATTTGTATTTTTGAGTCATAATGGATAGAAAAGTCAGTGGAACAGAATAGGAAATTCAGAAATAGAATCTAAGACATATTAACATTTAATATACAGTAACATTTAGTATTTGAAGACAGTGCAAAAGATAAATTTTTGAATACTTGGCATTTGAGTAATGAGGTAGCTTTCATGGCTTAGGAGTGAGGAAGTAGGTCTTTACAGAAATAAATTCAAGTTGGACCAGATATTTAAATATGAAAAAGTGAAACCATAAAAATGCCCTTCCCACAGTGGACTTCCCATGGAATTCTATATTTTCTGTTCCTGGGAACTTAAGACTAGGGAGCCCTGCATCTGCTTATTCTTTTTCTCCATTTGTAGTGCCCATCATAGTTTGTTTAATTAGCAGTCTCCTTAAATCTGAAACATTTTGTAGGGCTAAGCCTAGCTGTCGCCTTTCTGTGCAGCACCTGGCCCTCTCAGGAAATACCACATGGCTCTGTGCTCCCATAGTCCCTGTGATGCCACTGTGTACAGGGTATGCTTTTGTCTTCCATTAGGGTTGGTGCCATATGGCAGAATTACTTACCTGGAATCTACTCTGTGTGAAGCAGGAAGAGAGTAACACCAAAAGAATATGCTTAGCCTAGAAAGGAAAGTAGAGCCCAAGTTGAAGCAAGTACTGATTGATAGTATGAAACTTTGATTCTGAAGCCTATGAGGAGTGTATATAAGTTGACTACTTTTAGGAGAGTGGTAACATCAAAGTGATTTCAAGATCAATCCAGCAGAAGAATAAAGGAAAAGTAGAGAGAAGAGTGAAAACGCAAGGAAAACAACTAGATGGCTATTATGGTAATGTAGGCCTGTGGTAAAATGGTGCTGAACTTGTGGGACTAGGAAAGAAGTGGGTACAACTGACATTGTGCTGGAAGAATCAACAGGCCTTGGTAGCTGATTGATTGTGAGTGACAGGAAGTGGGAGGGGTCAAAGATGCCTTTGTGTGTGACGAAGCTGAAAGCCACTCTACCTGTGGACAGGTCTTTGACTGGCATAATTCAGGCTTGGAATTTGGCAAAACCAGAATTTTCAGGTGACTGGTGGAAAGATTTAATTACTTGGACTACTATGTAGACCTAATTGTGGTTATTCGGAACTTAGATGGAGTGATGTGATGGTGGAAAGAGGGCTTTACGCATACCATCCAAGTCATTCCAAGTCTCTCTGGAACATCCAGGGGAAGGTGAAGAAGAGGAGCTGCCTTCTGCTCTCTTGGATCCAGTGCACTCACTTCAGAGCGTTCACTTGCCAGCCCCACCGGATGGCCCAGCACCTTCAGGTTGGACAGCTGCTGCCTCTTGACCAGCCATGTTCGGCAGATGTAGATTAACTGAGACCGTAGATCTCTTGTGACCTTCTCCTTGTTCTCTTTGTTCAATGGATAAACTAGATTTTTGCAAAAGAAAGATGTTACTGGTAAATAATGAGAAGTAAACACAGCAAGTGTAAGAGAATAAGTAGAAAAACATGTGTGGCTCACATTTCTACTCCTGTTGTGTTAGGCTGGTCGTGACTTCCTCTTGATGCTGGTTCTGTTCTCCTGGTAGAAGTCCATTTCCTCATCTATGGGGCTCCCTTAGTCTGGCCTCACTGTTTATAATGTGCACTGTTTGCAGACCCAAAAAGTTATCCCTTGATGGGACAAGGAGACTAAGTATTTAAAGTGGTATGACCTTCATAGACTCACAGTTATGGTCATTGCTGTCAGACCCCTCTCTTCCTTGTCGCCTGCTTTTTTTTTTTATCTCATCACATTGCCCTTTCAGGGAAGAGCAGAGAAGAAGGCTGCTTCCTCACCATTCCTCTTCACAAAACTGCCCTCTCCACCGTGGACCTCCCATGGAATTCTCTTATTTGTAGTTCCTGGGAACTAAGACTTGGTTTCCCATTCCTTACAAGATCAGAGAAGACTGACATTCTGAGCCTGTGAAGGGCACTGAATCAAGTTTTCACTTTCCTCCCAGTAACCTCTGCCTTCTGTAGAATTCTAGGGAGCTTTCTTATATTCTTTCAAAAGAATAATTTATAGAAGTCTAAAGATTATAGTTTTACAGTGTCAGAGTAGCTTTTAGAATTATAGTAACACAAGAAGTTGGTGTGTTCTCAAATGCTGTGGTAAATTACTGCCCTCCAACCATACTGTGAGAGTCTTAAGAGTTCAGCTCTGACTGCGCAGACCTGTAGCCAAACCCCGTATCCTTTCCCACCCACTAGGAGGTTCCACTGGGCTCCTCCATTGTGTATGTGAATGGGTATTCACTTCCTGTTCATTATCTCACTGTTGTGTGGGGGAAGACTTAACTGCTCTGCAACCACTTACTTTCCTTGGAGCAGTGATTTTATTTAGTTCAGTAATGAATTAGAGCTGAGTCAGTGGGCAGGAACCTGCAAGCCAGAAAGAATCCAAACATTGACCCACCATCCTCTCTGCAGTTTCTCGTCCCACCTTTCTTGGACCCAGCTGCTCATAGGGATATAGCTGTGACTTCCACATCTGCCTCGCCATGCTTTGTCACAGGCCACTGTCATAAGCACCCTTAGATGTGCACTATGTGTGTTCGTACTAAATTCATACTAGGCATATTCCTTACTAGACTGAATGCTGTGGAGTATTTCATAAGGGATATCTTCACTTCTGAGTTGCATATTATTGACTATGTAGACAGTTTATACAGAGTCTGTGTATTGTTTAGGCTGTCTTATTAAACAAATTTCAAACTTTTAACATTTTCTAAAGTTGTTTGTTGGGGTTTTTTTTTACCATTTGAAATAATGGCAACTTATACAAAGTAAATATGCTCAGAATCTTCTGTTCCCTAGGCTTGCTCTTAAATTGCCATGTGACTTGTGCTGATACACCTAAAAAATGATAAGAAATGGGATAGGGAATAGTTTCTTTTTTAATCTGTTCTAACATCTTCAGAATTTCTCTGAGAAGATTTCACAACAGTCTTAAATGACAAGGTCCCTCTAAAGGTATTCAGTACTGATTAGGCTTTCTCCACAAAGAGTCATGTTTTTATTAAAAATTAATACACATATGAGTGCATACATGCACACCCCCCCGCCCCCGCAAATTGTACCTATGGTTACTTTAGCTCCTCAGTATCATTAAAGAGGCTCAAAAGGCAAACTGGCATTTCCGTTTAGGAAGGATGTGACCATCTATTGCTTCACTTGCCATAATATCAGGTTACATGTAATCAACAGGAGGCTTATTCCCTCTGGGACTTCTTTGGTCTCCCAGAAGGTTTTGGTGAACTCAATTGTCATCGTTCAGAAGCTGAACTGAACTCCTGCTAAAAGAGTCAGAGAACTGTATGAAATTGAGGGGCCTATTGGGGGCTGTTTCAAAGTCTTTGTTCCTGAAAGTAAAAACATGAACTTCCTGATAGTATTAATTTATGGGACCTTAATATTTTATGTAGAAGTTGCAATAGTATCATGTCCTCCAAAGAGTTTAGAATCTTGGCAATGTCAACCAAATTTGCATTAGTAATTTCTGAGCTCTTGTCACTTCACTTCAACTCTGAACTGTCGTTAAGCTGGACAAGAAGCCATAATTTTGTGGTGTCTAATGCAGAAAAGACTAGAATTGATAAACCACACAGGGAGAACCCGAGTCTGAGTGTGGAAGAGCATGAAAGTACAGACCCTAAGCTCCAAGGAAGGTACCAGAACATCATTCTGTCAAATCATCTGCACCAAAATAATTTTTAGTACAGCTGTTTTTCCTTAAAAATAATTCTTACACCTTGATCTTGGAGAAGAATATACAGGAGAAATGGAAGTGAGCATTGCCAAACAAGTCAACTTAAGGGCTCCTAATTCTCTTTATCCTAATGGTTAAGGCCGTGAATCTGGATGGGTCTTACTTAGTTGAGCCTTTCATTTGAGGGGATGAGGCGTTTACTCTCGGCTCACTAACCCCTGTGGCTTGTGCTTGGTTTCTCTAGAAGTAATCCAAGACTTCGGAATGGAACGCTGGCCCCTTCCCTACTTCCTGTGATCAAGCCATTGGCCACCTTTCTGTGGGGATGCCTATAAACGACCAGAAATCAGACTCTACGGAGATGGACTCTGACTTGTCACCCAGTTGCAGGCTCAGTGACCTGAGCAGAGGGGGCAGTTTGGAGAGTCGAAGCAGCAGTTCTCGCTCCAGAAGTCTCACTTTGGTGAGTGATGGTTTCCTTTAATGCTTTGGTGTGCTGTTGGCTGGCTTTGCCCCAGCTCCCTCCCCTTTAAAGAACATCTTATCAATTTCTTTTGGGTTAACTAGCTTGATGTTTTTGGAATACTTACTTTGTGAATAGGCGTTTAATTTTTAATCATCTTAAATTTGCACAAATACAGAGTATAATCCACAACAGTGAAGGGAATCTCAGTGCAGCCCATAACAGGGCTGCTGAGACCCAGGGAGGTCCCTGATTGCAGGCAGCCTCAAATTTAGGCAGGGCCAGATGCCTTTCAGTTCAAAAGACCTGAAGGAAGAGAAGCTCCTCCATGGGTAAAAACAAATTCCCTTTAAAACAGATTTTTAACTCCTCTACAAATACAAATACTTTTGTATCCCTTTCTCTCAGAGTCCAGGTTCCTACATATCATCAACAAGCTTGGGAACTTTCATAAAAAGAATTAGTTTTAAAGTTAAGAGATAACCTTTTTGCACTCCCCACTCCTCAGGATATTCACCCTTCTGGATGGACACCTTTATAGTCACAGAGGTCAGGACAGGAGGGAAGTAGCCTTGGGCTTTACTAATAAGAGTCTATTGTTCACCTCAGTTCCATCTTCTAGTGGATTTTCTGTCAGATACTCTGAGTCCTAAAATTAACCCCAATTATACTGAATATAAGATATATATATATACAGTATAGAGGGCAGTTAATAGTAAGGTAGAACTTAATAGATTCCTACTTGCATATTTTCTTTTTTTAAATCATCATGATAGTATGTAATAAATATAGTTTCATTGGTTCACTGAAAGAAAACTATATTACAAATTACTCTCTGAAAATCTGAGAACCAACAAATCCTTAAGAATAGAGAATTAGGTACTAATTTTTTAATTAAAAGCTATATAAAGAATATATTAAAAGATATATTAAAAGAATATGTAGGAAAGACAGATTAATACTCCAGTAATTCACGGAGTATGTTCTTTAAAGCATGGTCAGGAGGCAGCCCTGCTGTGATACAGAAGGGTATGTCTAAGCTTGCCGAGACTAACTTAGGTGCAGTAGTTTAAAAGACCACCTTATATGTGTAGTAATGGAATAAAATTGAGAATGACCATCAGATGACTGTGGTATCTAAGGAAATGGATGTAGTACATTAGGAGTCATGGTATTTGAATTACTTTTTTGCCTTTCACATTCATTTTTATGTATCCTGGCCTCTTTTGATAGAGAACTGAAATAATACGTGCTGTCCGTCTCCTCCTGGGAGATAATGTGATCCCAAATTGTCTAGTGCTTTGGACTTGGGGAAGGAAAGTTGCTACTTTTGCATCTCCAGTCTAGTGTTATGGGGCCCATCCTTCATGTTAACCAGTAAATGCCTACTCTTGCCAAACCCTGTGTGGTAGCTCAAACTCACAGGCTCATATGGGACCTGATTGTTCTCTGCAAACACACCCATTGTAGCATGGCATTCACTGACTACTCTAAGCGAGTCTACTGTGTCTTTTGTGTGTGCGGTTTATACATCTGCTCAAATGTGGAAGCACTGTACTAGGTGTCATGGACACAGCAGTGGAGCCTGCGTGCTGGTGACTGTGATCCGTTGTGACAGGGCCGGCTGCTGCAGACTGGCTTCCCCGCAGCACGGTCCGAGATGGAGGCTAGGACTGTACCTGGGATCAGCGTCTGGAAGGAAAAGAGGCAGGACTGAGTGGAGAGGGAAGCTGAGCTGTGAGTAGACTTGATGAAGGCCTTAGCTGCTGCTCAGAGAGCTCTAGGGCTGGGATAGGCCCTCAGTTGTCACCATTAGGCCGGAAGTGGCACCTTTATACCCACTCAGTGATCAGCCTTTGCACACAGAACCCCTCTGGAAGAACCGTGATGAGACAGTTTCTTTCAGCTCAAGACAGTTCCCAAAGAGCCTGACAGCTGAGGACCACCTTCCATCAGCACTCCCATTAGATGGAAGACCAGTTCCTTCATTTCCAGCGGGTGAGCTGGGCTGAGTGTCACACTGACTACCATGAAGGTTTAGCAGCAGATGGAAAGAGATGTCTCAGAGGGGTTGAAGCTGCCAGAGTGCCTGTAAGATGTCTTAACTGGAAGAAGCAAGTCTGGAAAATGAATTTGGGGAGCTTACAGGATATTGCCATATAAAACACAACAATTCCTAGGATGTATGTGTAGGCAAATGAGGTCTTAAGGTCTGTCATATGGCAAATTTGGAGAGTACACATCATGTTGACTCTGTCAAGATGTCATACACAAGAATACATCTTCAGAGACAAAAGCTCTTGTTTGAAAGGAAGCCTATAATGTTTCGGCTCCAAAGTCACAAAGAGAAATGGCTTATTAGAAAACTTTTTATCATGGCTGTATTTTTGGTAATATAAGATATTAGAAATATCATTAGGTTCATAATGGGGAAAACTATACTCCCTTACATTTATAAACACCAGGAGGTCAGGGTAGGCGACAGGAAAACAGCCTTGTGCTCCTCACCTCATTGGTGGGAGGATATTTTGAGCCTTCAGCAGTGGCCTGCCTAGGTTTCACAGTGGAGTTCAGTAGGGATCAGAAGGACATTCCCCAAGATACTCATAATGTTTCGTGAATCCAAGAACTATCCTTATGCATTTTTAAAGTTGCTTTCTTCTCTACTAACCAATCAGTATCCTGAAAATCAGCTAAACTAGTATAAATACAAGGGTATCAGAGAATGCTTGGGTTCAAATTCAAATTTGCCTCCCTTTGAACCTGGGAAAAGATATTTAATTGCTCTCTTCATTAGTTATTTCTTCCCTTCATTAGTTTAAAAAGAAGAGGGTGAGAGGGATAATAATTCTTTTCTCAAGAGTTATATATATATATATATATATATATATATATATATATATATAGTAAAGATGATATGTCTAGCATCTAATCAGTGCTCATAATACCAGCTTCTCTTTTTTGAGTGCCCTATAGCTTCAGGTTGAGCATAATTCCACTTTATCCTGTCACCATCATCTTGTTTGGATCCATTTTTCCCCCTGTTATACCCCTGTCTCTTATGAGTGGTCTTCTGAACTTTTTCCTTTGATCACTAAAGATAAGATGGTAAAAGGAAAACACCCCTCTCCCCAGTGTCTCATTGTTTCTTAATTCTGCCAATCTTCCTATGGGCATCACTTCAAATTTAAATTAAAGAATACCTATCCTCTACAGTTCTTTTCAATCCAGTAAAAACTTAAAATAATACTGTGATGAGTTTGATTCATCTGTGTGTTCATCACTGTATAGGACAAAGTGGAAACAGCATTACAGATTCTACTTTTATGAAGCATATAATTTAATTATATTCTCATGATATGTGTTTGCATAATTCTGCCTCATACCCCATTTGGCTACCTGTGTCTCACTCTCTGATGGAGGACACATTCTAGTGCTGTCCCAATACCTTCTAATTACACCTGTTGACTGACTCTTTTCAAGCATTTTCCTTAATGGAAAATCATAGAGCCAACTTTAGTTGTCATCAGTTATTATTCCAAAGTTGTGAATTTTCCTTAGATAGATCAGGCTCACTGAAAAAAACTGACATTTAATTTTAAGTGGCAATTAAAGTTTTCTAAACAGCTACGGAATGTTTGACTTTTACTAAGCACTCTCCTAGCATCTAGGTGTCCTTGAACCAGTGAACTATCTATACTGGTACAAAATTTGTAAACTTTAAAAAAAAGTTTACCCTCATACTCTATTTTTTGAGGAGTCTAAATTTGGAGAGGAGCTGTATGTTTTTATTCTAAATCACTGGGTCTTTTTATGACTTGTCTGTTTAGAGGGAGAATCAACCTTAATAGCTTCTCCACTTGCTGTCCTTTAATTCTTGACCCCATAAAAGATTAGTTACAGTGTTTTTAGGCCTCTAAATTGTATGGTATTAAATGTACCTCTTGGAGAGCTCTTTAAGTAAAAGATAACCTAGTTCCAACTAGAAGTTTTTCTTTTAAGCTAAGGTTATTTTTAAAAGAAGATAAAAGACTAATGCCTGATGTTACATGAGAATATCCTAAAATTTTTAAACACCAGTTGAAATGTTGCCTGGGATATAAGAGATCTTTGCTCTTTAGGAACTTTCCTCCTGAGGCAATGCAAATTAAAAATTTGCTGCTTAAATAGGATTGTTGTGGCTATCCATATAGGGAAGTGTATGAAGTCTTTATCACTCAAGAGTAGGTGTGTTTGTATATATATTTTGTTTTTCTTATACGGAATTTTTTCCTCTGAACCTTTTCTAATGAAAGGTATAGTTAGAACAAAAACAAATTGGCCAAATCCTGAAATACTTGACTTAGAGGATGTCTTTTGAATTTGTTTTTTTCCTTTGAAATTTAAGAAGCTTTCTTAAAATACAAGGCAGCATGCCTTTGCAAAGATGGTAGTGTGGTTTTGCAACCTACTACCTTGAGAGGTAACACAGATTCAAAATAAAAGGTTCAAGAAGGATTCAGAAACCTTGGTAATGATAGCTCTTTAAGGTGACAAAAGAAGCTTGGGGTGTGAAGTCACCTATGTTCTTAACCCGTTTAGGCCAGTATCTCACTCATGTATCTCTCTGAAACTCCTGGGTGCCACTGCCAGGGACAAAATGCTGCCTCCTGCCAGAGTCTGTAGGTCTGTATTTGTCCTGTGGTCCTGAATGAAGTCTGCTTTGCCCTGCAGCATCTGGAGCTCCCTCTAGAAAAGAACCTGCTTTGGCTAGGTGAAGAATGGGAAGCTCATACTACCCATAGTTCTTAAGAAATTAAGTGATATATGTGCTTTTTTAGGGTGTATTGGAAACATCCAAAATCCCCAAGCATACTTCCTGTTCATTTTGATACCTAAGGTGGGCAAAAACAATGACCCAAATGCATTATTGAGTTTTTAGAGATTTAATATTCAATGAACTACATTGAAACCCTCCTTCTAGCTTAGCTGACAAAGGATCTGGCCCAAAAGTCACAGAC